TCTGATTTCCCTGCCACCACTGCTTTCTGTCTTGCATCACTGCAAACTAGTCTCGATTCTCTCTAGTTTGGGGAATGCTGCATAAAAAACGGATCAGCTCTATGAATGTCAGTTCCCTCCTCTGAGAACAAGGCTGGAATTGCTTGTTTTTCCAATACAGTAACTCCTCACTTAACATTGTCCCAGTTAACGTTGTTACATTGCTGATCAATTAGGGAACAAGCTTGTTTAAAGTTGTGCAATGCTCCCTTATAACGTTGTTTGGCAGTTGCCTGCTTTGTCCACTGCTTGCAGGATTCTCTGGAAGAGCAGCCCCTCCTTGTGGGGATTAGAATCACGAGCCGGCAGCTCCCCCCCCCCCCAATCAACTCCCCTAAATTCCCCATAAGGTACGTGGCTCAGCATCTGCCCAGCAGCAGTTCAGATGGCCTTCCCCCCATTGCCGTGCTGCTCCTGACCTGCCCTCTGCCTTGGAGCTGCTCCTGGGAGCTTCCTGCTTGCTGGGAGAGAGGGGTGCTGATGTCAGGATGTCCCCCTGTTCCTGCCCTGCCCCTCCACAAAGTGGAGGAGGGGACAGTCACAGGGCTCGGGGACAGAAGGGGCGGGGAGAGTTTGCAGGAAGCTGTTGCTTCGTGCCTGAACTGGCTGATCAGCTTAAAAGGGCAATGTACTTGAAGTGAGGTCAGCGTACTTAAAGGGGCAATGCACATCTCTCTCTCACTCATGCACGCACCCCCCCCCAGCACTTTGGAAAGTCAGCACCTGTGCAGCCGTGCATGTGCTGTCAGGAGGAGGGAGTGGTGCACTCCAGCTGGATAGCGTGGGTTCATCATCATGTTCAGTTTTTGCAGGGAAGTGTTTGCAGCTACTGCCCTGCATCTATTGTGTTTCCGCCCTCCTGCCCTCAGTCCATGCTGCCTTGTAGAGTGTGAGGCTACATTAACAACAGCCTATTAACCCTTGAGGGCTCAGCTGAGTGCTTGTTCATCATTTAGCAGAAAGGCATTCCCTGGGAAATATTCCACCCTCTTACTCCACCACCTCAACCAAGCTTCACAATCATTCATTGCTGTGTACAATATTAAACTGTTTGTTTAAAATTATTTAAAACGTATACTGTATATGTATATAATGTCTTGTCTGGCAAAAAAAATTTCCCTGGAACCTAACCTCCCCATTTACATTAATTCTTATGGGGAAATGGGATTTGCTTAACATCATTTTGCATAAAATCGCATTTTTCAGGAACATAACGACAACATTAAGTGAGGAGTTACTGTAGTTACACTTTAAAATAAAAAGCTAATTAAGATAAGTTATTCCTGCCTTTGCAGCATATGAAATTATTGCTACCAAGATTTCCATCCAATATACAAAGCACATCTATATACCTGATATGTCCCCAGTCAACTTCTTCAAAAAATGGATGATCCTTTATTTCCTCTACTCCATTACTACCAATTCTATTTTCCGAATCAATACAAAATCTGAAGGGGGGGAAGAAAGAATGTTACAATTAATGCAGAAACAAGCATATAAAATAAATCATTGTACAATCCTGTAGCAGAAATTTTATAAAATCTATTAAATTATTTTATCTTTGGATTGTTCAACATCCCATTACACCTAGAAAAATCACAGAAATAAAATGTTGTCAGTCACATTATAAAAGGCACAATGCTACAATGGTAATAGATCATATTTCCCTTTCAGCTCCAGGCTTTTGTGAACAAGTTGCTGCCAGAGCTGGTTATTATTCCAAATCAGTAACAGGAAGACATTTCATTTCTTGGAATTTCCAGTTTCTCCACATGGTCTGGCCCAAGAGAGATATCTTGATTTTAAAGCATCCATTTCTGCTAAGTACTCTCTCTTTTTAACCAACCTCCAAAACCTTCTTATCCTCCCACATTAAACAGCAGCACGTTCCACCAGACAAGTCAGTGCTGTGCTGTGATTCAGCCTTCTGGAACTGGTAGTTTAGCCACCAGACAATTGGAGAAGCAAGTGCCTTGTCTAGCATCTATAATGGAGAAAACAACAAGGCCCTTTCAAACAAAGAGCCGGGTCCCTTTAGGTGCTGAGCCACTGATTGATCTAATGGAAGTTGAGTCCGCTCAGCAATTTGCAGATTGGGCCTTCAGTTTGCTGCATGACAGTGTGCTGCCCTCCCATAAACTCCTTTGCTGACGGACATGCTGCTTTTGTATAAACTAAAGTTGCTTCTGAAAGTTGATTGTTTAACTAGATTCCACTTCTGCTTTCAAGTAGTCATCTGTTCCGCACTGACAATTTGTGCTCAGCAGCAATTGTTGTCCAGCAGATGAAAGATACTCTCCATTATTTCAGGCAACAGAGTGACAAGAGTGTGTGTTTTGCAGTGGCTAACATACTCAGAGCAATTCATTTATAAGAATCAATATGGGTAACTGGCTATACCTAAATGATCACAACATCCAGATTCATAAAACATTTTACCTGCCAAACCTTCATAGAAACAAAACCTCCTTCTTGCCAGCACAAAGCAAGTTCTGACAGGCCTTTCAGTAATGTGACAAGTCATATGGGTTATAAATTGACTAAGCTATACTCCCACAAGAGTAATATTCTTATCTTACATCTGAATGGCACTTGTTGAGATGTGAAATTATTTCCTAACTTTGAAAATATCAAAGTACCCTTCCACCAAAAAATAAAAAGCCAAAGAAAAATTATTTCTAAACTAATCCTTGAAATCAAATCCCTACAGGTCAATCAATATTAGGTAAGGAATAACCACCACCACCAAGAAATGGCTTTTGGAAAATGTGATTTTATCCATACAGCCCAACAATCTCTATATTGGGGTTTTCAGGACAAATTACTTAGTGACTTCTGAGTGCGGCCACCAACTCTTGCTGGTGGCCACTCTCACACTTTTTCCTAAAATACTTAATTAGCTTTAGGAAAAAGAAATAAATATGCACATATACACATCCAAATTATTGTAATTTATTTATTGCTAGCTAGTAAGTCAGTTGTGAAAAGTGATATTAACAAACATACAAGTATCATTTACTCAGCCCCAGCAAATGTGGGGGCAAATTAAGCCCTGGATGGGGGAGGAGGGGGTCAGAGGGAGGTCAGGGGGTCATGGGCAACTGGGATGAGTGTGGCCGGGTGAGGCAGCTGGGGGCCGGAGACTTACACTGAGGGGAGGGGGCCTGGGAACAGCCCAAAGCTGCGCGGACAGAGCCTAGGGTCCACCACCATGCAACCAGAGCTCAGGGCTGGACCCCGAAGCCCCACGGCCAGAAGGGAACTCACCAAGTGACTGCTCCTCCAGCGTTGTGCCCCAGGTGCCTCCAGCGGGGGACAGGATCCAACTCCTGCTGGAGGCCCCAGCAACCAACACTAAGGCAGTGCATCCAGGAGCAATGGGGAGTGGAGGGAAGGAGGCACTGCTTTGCCCCTCTTATTCCCCATCACAGCCCAAGAGGCTGTGGTTGCAAGAAAAGCCCATGGTGGCCACCTGCAACCACAGTGGCTGCATTTGAGAAGCGCTGATTAAGTAAAACTCCATTATATCTGCTGCGTTGTTTTGTTGGCTCTGAATTGATGTGCTTTACGTGCTGGATGCTATTCAGTTTTTCTAACTGAAAATTTGATTTTTAAAACATTCTTTTTCCTTCAGATCTGTTCTGTCTCTATTGCTGGAGACAGACACGCCAAGAGATTTGAAGTTGCATTATTCCGATTCCCTTACGCAAAGCATTCAGATGAGAATTTGGAACAAATTTTTGTGAGGTGCAACTGAAAAACTGAAAAATTGAAATATTTACCAAGAATGGATGAAGTGGATAGGAGAAAGGGCAAAGTGGAAGAGGTACCTGGCTGGGATCCTTCAACTTCTCTTTCAACCTAAAACTTTCTCTGTGTCTAAAATTAAAAGATGCTTTGATCTTCCACTCGATTGAATAATTTCTCCCAGATAACTGTGGACCATTATTAATAATTTTTATGGTGCCTGTCACAAAAGACTGCTTCTAAAGTTATATCTTTTGAAAGGTAGCTGTAATAAAGACTAATGCAGCCTATGCAGTCCATGCATCTAATGCTTTACAAGACCAAGTATTACACAAAAAATCTATTATCACTGTTCTTTTCCTGCATCTTCATGATCCTCCCTTTATTCCTCCTCTCTCCCCATCTCTTATATTCTTTCAGGGCCCAGTCATGCAGTCCTAATACAGACAAAACTTCCATTGAATGGGGGTTCTGTCAGCCTCAGCACAGCAGGATCAGGTCTTTAATACATATAAATTAGTGTAATTCAGGACTTCCCTCCTTAGGGCCTACTCTTGCTCCCATCAACTTCAGTGGAAGCTTTTCATTAACTTCAGTGATAGCAGAATCTGGCCCAGCGAGCTGAACTTTCCATCCCTGTAAGCTTGGCCTCCGGAAATGGTTATATGGGGAGAAGGAGATGAGTTCAGCACCTTTCCACCCTGCAGAAATGAGTTTCTCCACACGCTGGAAAAAGAATGTAATGGAAGAGGATCATGTCTATGGGTCTGAATGGCCACAAAAAGTTTTAGTTACTAACCTTAGAATTAAGTCCTTTGCTTTCTCTGAAATGGGCACCTCTGGAGGAAATACCAACGTTTCTTTCCAGTTCATAACTTTCCTATACGTTTCTTGTGGCGTTTCAGAGCAGAAAGGTGGATACCCTATATAAATGGAAAAAAGCTTAATGAGCTTTTCCAACATTAGAAAAAAGTGTACCAAGGCCCAGTCTGACATAAACCAAAGTCACTTTGCTACTTCTCCCTCAAAAATTTCTGCATGGCAACGTCAACTAAAAAAATTCTCTCCTTGAAAACTACAAAATACCTTTGGAATTGTAAAATTAAAGGTTAAGGGGACTGAATCTGTAACAATTTTTAACAGTGAGGGTGATCAACCACTGGACCAAACTACTAAGGAAAGTGGTGCATTCTCCATCTCTTAATGTCTTCAAATTAAGAGTGGATGCCCTTCTGGAAGATCTACTTAGTTGAGCACAAACTGTTGGGCTCAGTGAAAAAAGTTACTAGATGAAATTCTATGCCTTGTGTTATACAGCAGGTCAGACTCAGTCATCTAATGGTCCCTTCTGACCCTGAAATCTATCTTGGGGTTGGTAATGATAACATACCTATTAGCATTTCATACATAATCACTCCTAAAGACCACCAGTCACACAACTTGTTGTACCCAGTCTGCATGAATACTTCTGGAGCAATATAATCTGGGGTCCCAACAGTAGAGTATGCCTGGAAAAAAAAAGAAGTAGGGGTTGGGTGGGCTCTTTATATCAATTATACGCTCACCATTTTAAAGTTCTGTGGAAAAAAAACTTACTGGAATTAATAGACAGAGTACTGATATTTAGTGGGAAAAGGATAAGTAATTTGATAAGTCAGAATACATAAAACCCAAGAGACTGTTCATTTAGATACACAAGCACAGAACCAAAAATAACTTTGAAGTTAGACTGCCACCTCCGACCCCCAAGTGTGAAGAGACCATAGTACATACAGACTGAAATATCAATGATTTTTTAGATCACATTTCTTTATACATTTTAGCCTACTAATTAGTAATTAGTAAATTACAAAAGTAGTCGGAAAAAGTGTACATTCAACATCTAACTCTCCTGAAACACTAAAACTGTTCTGTATATGAGTGTATCTGCACTGCAGAATTAACTCAGGCTCTTAGGCCTGGTCTACACTACGACTTTAATTCGGATTTAGCAGCGTTAATTTGAATTAACCCTGCACCCGTCCACACAACGACGCAATTTAATTCGAAATAAAGGGCTCATTAAATCGATTTCTGTACTCCACCCCGACGAGCGGAGTAGCGCCAAAATCGATTTTAGTATTTCGAATTAGGGTTAGTGTGGTCGCAATGCGATGGTATTGGCTTCCGGGAGCTATCCCACAGTGCACCATTGTGACCGCTCTGGACAGCAATCTGAACTCGGATGCACTGGCCAGGTAGGCAGGAAAAGCCCCGGGAACATTTGAATTTCATTTCCTGTTTGCCCAGCGTGGTGAGCACA